CACCCCCCTCGGTCCAACCTGCCCGACTCCAGGGGCCGGGCAGGGGGTACAGCCACACAGACAGGTAAGAAAATACTTCTGATATTTCTCAGAAACAGCTTTTAGAAACCACAGTTTTTACAGCTCCCCATAGAAAAGATGGGTCCAGGCGCAGGCTGCAGCCCAGGTCTTCAGCTAGTAGAAACGCTTGTTCCGCTCCTGGCGTTTCTGGAAGACCACAGCGCCCACCACGGCGCAGACAATGATGCCCAGCAGCGCGCAGAGCAGGAGCAGGAACACCTTCCAGCCTGTCAGAGGCCCACTTCGGAAATTCCCTGTTGGGTCATCCACGTTGTCTGCAAGGACAAGAACAGCTATGGAGACCGACCCAGCCTCGGCTCCTGCAGGGTCCCACAGGGACTCACAGCTCCGACACCTTCCAACAGGCCCAACACCCCACCCTCCACCAAGTTTCCAAAGCCCAGAGTCTCACCTTTGGGTGATTTAAGGAGACTGACACTAGGCTCAATCTTGGTCCAGTCAACACTCTCATCTTCTATAGGGTGCTCCACCATGAGCTGGAATAGCTTCATTGAGATAATATCATGATTGTCTAGGAAAAAACCATCAGCACCAACACTGTCAGAGGCTTTTGAGAGCACCCCTAGGACCCTGCTCTGCCAGATCCAAGTCTCCTTTCCTCTCAAGCCCCCCTCAAACCCCAGCTATCAAACTGCAATCTGAGATGTTCCTCAGCTCTCAGCTGCCTCCTTTCCCATGCCACTGGTCCCTATCCAACAGGCTTTCAAGATTTTAACAATCCAGGGAGAAATAGCCATTGAAGCTGCATCCACACCATTATATTCCAGGCTCCGAACAGCAGGTATTCCTTCAAGCAATGCCCCCTCTCACCAGACAAGTCTCCAGTGCCAGCAGAAGCACCAAAGAAGTAGCCAGTTGGCAGCTGCACCCCTGCAATGTCAATGCAGTTCTTCCATTCGTTCTTGTCTTCCACGTCGGTCATCACCTGCAAGACCAGGGGAGCGTCACACCAGGAATTCATGCTGCTATCATAGAATGGTTTGGGTTGGAAGAGACCTTGAAGATCATCTAGCTCCAACCCTCAGCCATGGGCAGAGAAATTTCACACTAAACCAGGTTGCTCAAAGCCTCAACCAACCTGGCCTTGAACATTTCCAGGGACAAGGCATCCACAATGTCTCTGGGCAACCTGTCCCAGAGCCTCACCACCTATCCTGCCTGCCTGCAGCTCTTTTGGAGCCCAAGGTGCAGGCGAGGCAGACAGCCAAGTCTGGAAAACCATCTCCAGATCACCTACTGACACAGCAACCCCTCAGCACGGCCCCATCTAACAGGAGAGGTCCGTCTGTGCCACGTCTCACCGTCAGGCGACCCCGGGAGTACCGAACGGCCAGGAACGTGTCGTGGTTCTGGTTCCGGAGGTCAGCGGTGCACCCGGCCAGCTCCGTCCAGCGCCCGTCCTTGCTGTGGTCGTAGGTCAGGGAGCCGTTGTTCACCATCGCCGAGATGTAGGGGAACACGCGCTGCAGGGAGAGCACTGCTGCTGCCGTCTGCAGGAGCTCCCCAGCTGCAGACCAAGAGCCACCTTCTCCTGCCGCCTCAGAGCCTCAGCAGGCACCGCAGAGCCACGGCTCTGTCAGGCACGGGGGACAGCACACTGACATCGGGGCTCACTGTCTACGTAAAGCTGCTCCCAAACTCACGAGAGCTGGTTCTGATAAAGCAGAGCAGCCGTTTCTGACCTTCTCTATCAAGACCACCCCTGAGCCCACAGCAGATCGCATGGCAAGGGGAACAAAGACCACCTCAGACTTGCAGAGTAAGCACCAGACTGGGTAAGGAGTGTACAAACAGAGGGCAGAAATCTCACATAAGCAGCTTAACCATGCTCAGGGCTTTGTAGTCTGTAGATTATGTACACCAGGAGAGGCCAACTGGAGGCAAGAATTCACCTCCAAGGGAGCACCAAGACAACAGGGAGATGGGTCATTCCCATGCCTTATGACTTAAGTAGCATATTTTTGGTGCCAGAGATCTCACTCACTAACACAGTTACATTTTCTCACTGCGCCAGAGCAGGACAGAAGGAAACAACCATCAGTTGACACAGGACTGATCTGTGTTTCAGCCACACAGAATTCTGGAGCAAAAAGCCAACCCAGGAGATTTGCTTTTAAAGAAAGACACACAGGTTGCAAACAGAACAAGGCCAGAAACAACGTGGAATGGTCAACCAAAGCGCAGACAAGTTCAGGAAGTGACACGTGGGATTAATATACTCTTAGGCTGACTCCTCTAGCTTTACCCAACGGGCAGTACACAGTGTACACCAGAGCTGTGTCACCCTCTCATACAGAGGGGGAAAGGCCTTGGAAACATCTGTGTAGTCCTCGACAACAGAAGATGGTGCAAGTACCTTCTTATCTCCATTCATGCCACACAAACTCTTCCCTTTACCAGCTCACACGACAGGAAGAGCAGCCCACTCTCACAGAAAAGAAGACTTTTTCTTGGTCTGGGCATGAAAACTCAGACCATGAAGCCATGAGGGAACAGCCCCCTTGGCACTGCCCTACTCACCTCTGTCGCTTCATCGTTGGGATATGTGTCAAGGAAAATAGCCAGTCCATGGAAGTTGTCCTTGCTGCCAAAGACAGGACCTGGTAAAAGGGCACAAAGCTGAAAACAGAAGGCTCTGAGACAGAGCCTGTGCACAGAGACCTATCAAAAAGAGCCGCGACAGCTGTTTGCTGCCAGGCAGACGACGGAGGGCACCTGTGTCTAGGGCAGCACATGCAGGACACGTCATCTCTATCTGGTGAAACCAGACTGGGGGGAGCTCGAGTGCGATGGGACACGTGTGGGTGCTGGTGAGGCCCTGGCCGAGCAGCCCCAGCTGCACACCATACCTGGCACCAGCCGCTCCTGCGTGTACCACAGCGCCAGGCCGTCCCCGTGCAAGTTTTTCTTGCCGGCCCCGTGGATCCTGAAGTGGACGTGGAGCTCCCAATCCTTGAGGAAGCAGGGCTGTGTGGAGAGATCACCCAACAGCATCAGGGCCGGGGCCGGGAGAGACGCTGGGGCCACACCG